CCGTATTTTTGGCTTAGGTTTCCACACCTCGTGCTGCTAATTTTACTTATGTTGAACGTCTGGTCAAACCCCATTGCCATCTCCCTCTTTCTATGAGTATGTATGTAGCTTAAACAAAAAAGCATGGGCTTCTCTGTTACACATTCATCTTTCTCTTTTATTTCCGTTTTTATGAGGAATGGTTGGCTAAATTAGACCTGATTGCAAATAGCAACCGTCTGATGTTGACGCTCCATATTCTTAGTTCAATCTCATTTTGAAGTTTTCTCTTATTATCATTAATTTGTCGTTAGGAGTCTGGAGCGGAAGAGGAGGGGGAAATCTTGCCACTGATTTCCTTATAATGAAGCAGTCTATTAACATTCTCCTAAAATTATCATTAATTAAACAGAAAGTTTGTCTAAAGCTTGGAACAGGAATTTTTCTGTACCATAAAAAGGCACTGAGTGGGGATCTGACTATGGTTCTGCTTTACCAAGCCCCTCTCATCCATGCCGAAGTGAAGGAGCAAGTGAGCTGTGCGTTTGGGTTTTGGATTAATAGCTGAAGTTCACTCATGTGGAAATAAAGCAGATTTTCCTATGACTAGAGCGTATCATTAAAAAGCCATTATCAGAACCGACCAGTGCTATTCCTGCTCTTTCATTGCTAATGACAAAACAATCTGTTCTTAAAAAAAAAAACCAACCCAGCAGCACCCTACGTCTTTTTCCAGGGAGCGTCTTTAGGTGCAGGAGACCTAACAGGATAGAACCTGGGTGAAGAGAGGCAGTTGAAAGATTTATTGATCAATAAAACACACAATTACAGCTTGTTTATAAAAGGGAAAAAAAACCCCAAACCTCGGGCCTGCAAGCAACACTGAAACTCTAATAATGATAACTCTGACACCCAGCTTGAAACTATAAAAGTCAATAGGAAGATATAGGATTTCAATAAAATTATGACACTAGATAAACTTTACCCCAGGAACAAATTTTCCCTGGGCGTGTGACTGACTTCAGTTAGATTTGTAACTTTAATTTCTTTCTTATTGATTTTTTTTTTCTTTTCTTCAACTAATTAAGTCTGTAGCGAATTCGGTATAAATGCGTTTGAGGAGGGGCTAACAAGCGTCAATAGGAATAGAGGCTGAGTTTCAAATGCCACCTTACATATATTAATTTTTTTGCTACATGTTAGTCTCTAGATGTTTCCAACATGCAAGTGGGAGCGTGGGTGTGTTTGAAGCTGCGGGACGGGCAGCAGCAGTGCTGCAGCGGCGGGAGGGTTGTTAGCGGGGAAGGTGACAGCCGGGGAGCGTTCAGGTTAACAGTTCTCTGGTCTTTCCCCCAAACTAACCCAAAAGTCCCAGAAGAGCCCACCTACATTACTACTTTCTCCAAAACACACTTGTAGCCCTCGGGTGCATGAACGCTAGTGAAAGAAACTTCCCCTTATCTTAAAGCCTACTTATCAAAGAAGTCAAATTCTGGCTTTACGTAAGAAGGACTAGGGGAGGGGGCAGGAGAGCTGGAGAGAAGCTTGATCTTCAGGTAATTCTGAAAGGTGGGATCCTGTGCATCACACAGTGGATTTTTATGGGATCAGCTCCAGGTTGTAGTTGAGACTATAAAGCATGTTTTCTTTTTGGTTGCTTATGCAACAGTAGGAGACATGCTCTTTGGGTGAATTGCCTGGTGCTGGCGGAATGAAGGGAAACTGTTTAATCTTTGAAAAATTCACTGTCCTTCCTCTTTTTCAAACTTCTGCCTCCTGAAACAAACACAGCTGTGTGCTGTAGCACCGGAGTTTGCTTTGGGACATTAATTTCCGAGGTTTATAATGATCATCAAAAACAATTATTTTGCTTTTAGGGCATGTTTAGATTAAGCTGTGTTTCTGTTCCTGTGTTGATCTGAACCTGGCCAAGGTAGAGAGGAGCTGAAAGCAGGGTTGTGTAAGGGCATTGGGAAAGCAGGAGAGCAGGATTTGCTGTTGGTGAGCTGTCATTGCAAAGGCAGGGTGTAAGTGGTGGGTTAGCGAAGATGGTCTGTGCTGGTCCCTTTCAGAAATTCCCAGAAGGACCACTGTTTAGTAATTCTGCTGAATATTCTCCTTATATAAAGCAGAAAAGCAGAAGAGGTTTGAAAAAGGTTGGAGAGGACTTGTTAAAGTCACTGGGGAGGTTTTTGATGGGGCTTGGGGTATATTTGCTGTGAGGTGCTATGCAGAGATACTGTGGCAGTTACAAAATTAGGATTACGTTTTGGAGAATCTTTTTACTTGGAGGACTTCTCAACAAGAGTTTCTGTTTCCTGCCAAACTAACAAGATCTTTAGGAGGGAGGGAAAAGCTTTCAGTAAGTGCTCTTGATAGGGAAGAACTTGAAAATGGAGCTGGGGAGCACTTGTTGGAAGCTGAGAATTGATTTCATTACAGTATTAATATTTAGAAATAATTAGAGATGAGAACTAAACACCAGGATCAAGTGTTTAATTGTACTGCCCTTTCAGCTTTTCAGCAGCCTTTTCCACTACAGCTTATGCTCTAGTTTACTGTGTGTATTTTTTCTAGACAAGTTTGCTCTTCTCTTCAGAAAAAGGCTTGAAACTCAAGATCTGTAGTTGATTTTAAGGAAAAGACACCCTATAGGGATGTCCTGTTCCCATACAGATTTCCCCGTGCTAACGTGAAAGCAGAAGTTTGTCCTCCTTGCAGCAGAACAGCTTGGGGAACTGCTAGGATCAAGCGTGCTGGGAATTGCCAGGGGTCCTGTTTGCTGTTGAAAAAACGGTAGGGATTTCAGGACTGCCCTGCTGTAATGGAGAGATCAGTGCTGTGTTAAACTATCACATTGATGAAAGATGCTTAGCAGAAAATTGGGATAGCGGAGCAGATTGTAGTACAGAGAGACAGAGAGAGAAAGAATGTTATAATGGCAGATCTAATTGCAACAATATGCAAGGATCAAACCAATAAATACAGTAAACGTGGTCATTACATTCCCTTCTGTGTTTTAGACAGTGATTCTGAATTAAATGGGGACCAAAAGTCGTCTGCTGAGCCAAGGTAGCTTGTCTTGTGGAGAGTGAAGTTTGCGGACTGGGTGGTGCGCGTGTGTTGGCGAGGGAGAGGAATGATGGAAGGATCCTGGACTGCTGCTTTCCTACTAAACAAGTTAATTACAGAAAGTGTGGCTGGGTCTGGTTTTGCTCTTCATGCAGTAACATAAGAGTAGTTCCTTTCCTATGTCTGCCAGGTCACTAATTCTTTCAAAAGCTTGTTGCAGAACTGTTCTTTCCTTGGAATAGCCAGGCCTGAGCAAGCAGCTAATAATTAGTTCCGTGTTAAAATCTGTTTTTCTTTATTTCTTTTTAAACTCGGTTCCTTTGACCTCAGGCTGTTCTTGGTCTTGAAGTCCCTTTACCTGCTGACCAGTACAACTGTCTTGGTTGACCTTTCAATACGTGACATGCTTTGAATACACACTACCCCTCTGGCAGTCCTCTTGTTTTCACACCTTGAATTTGAATGTTCCTTCCCTTTCACATGCAAACACTTGCTGTACATGTTCAGTGTTTGACCTTTTAGGTTTGGAAGGGAGAGACAATCTCCCTACTTAGGCTTGCTCAACTGAGCAGTTAGCATCACCTTCACTGTCTGAAATACAACTTCTCTCTTATGGGGGTGAGGGAAAGAGATGTTTTTTTCTATCCTGGTAATTCCTGATTTTCCCAGGAGAGCAGGATCCCAGCAAAGCATTGCAGCGTGACTAAGCTTGGTTTATGAAGTGCTTTGTGTTCAGTATGGTGGTAGTGACCTGGTCTGGGTGTGAACTGAACACCTATAAAATTGAGTGATCTTGTAATAATATTTTAGACTTTTGTGAAGGCGGAATTCACACAAGATAACTGATATGTCTGGAACACTGGTGCTTTCCTCTAATAGGTTGAAACAGCAAACTTCAGCAATGAAAGGGAGGCAGCGCTCCCTAGGATTTCCTAGGAATTTTTGCTCTTTTGAGTTATGCCAGGGCAATGCTCTGCTTTGACTCTGTTCTGTAGCCCCACGGACATCAAGGTTCTTCAATATGATCAGAAGGTAAAAACACTTCATCAGCTGCCTAATCCCTGTCTGCATATTGCACTGTAAACAGTTATCTCCTTAAAACATGCCTGACATTTTAAAATACTGTTCAGCCCTTTGTCCTTGTTCTTCTCTTCCAGCAGTATCTTGAAGGTGGGCGCTAGGTGCTATCTGAAGTTGGTAACGCTTAGAAGATATTTCAGCCAGGGGCCCACACAAAAAGTTGACCTTTAAGACTTGGATTGAGAGCTATACTTGGGGGTATGGACACCCTCAGAGAGGGGAGAGGGATCCTTTTTCTCTGAAAATGTTTGTTTTTTATTGCCAGCAAATAGCAAAGCGAGTCAAACATACTCTACAAAACATTAATTGGTGCAAAGATATTTGTTATAAACACTGAATATGTCGGTGTTCAACAAGTGATCAGTCACATGCCTTTTAGAGGACGTTTGCTCTCAGCCACTTTGTTTTCTGTCAAATCTGTTTCATTTCTATTGTCACGATTTTGTTCGTTCACTGCTGGAACTCTTTGGCAGGAGAAATGTTGAGTACTGCACTAAACGTTTTGCTGAAGAAACCATCCAGCCATGCTGAATTGGAATAGTATCTCTAAGAAAAATGACGGCTCTGTTTTTAGTTGCTACATGCTTGTTAGAGTGCATTCATGCTGCATTCCAGCAAGAGATATGTTGTTTATATGCACAAGATGGTCCGAATTTTTAGTTCTCAGATCAGCGACATTTCGTTAGTAGTCTGGGTGTCTTTGTTTGTGGGATGATGCTCATAGGAAGATGATACATGTATATCTTTTAGGGGTTCTTTGTCATTCAAAACAACAACAGTGAAAAATGTAAAGTTTTGTTCTAGCATCCCTCTTCTCCAACTGTGGTCAGGGCTTTATCTCTAACGGTGTTTTCTCTTCTTCCTGACAGGAGCGGGATGGAATGAGAGCAATCCTGGAGTCGTACGATAGCGAGCTGACGCCTTCAGAGCACTCGCCCCAGCTGAACCGGCGGATGCGTGAGGCAGAGGAAATGGTACAGAAGTTGCATGCTCATAACGCTGAGCTGGAGGTAATAACTCCTTCACCACCAGGGTTAGAGAATGATGCCTCTTTAAGACCTTTAAGATTTAATTGCCTGGTGATGTGATGTGCTCTCACAGAAGACAGATTGGCAAAATCTAGACTTCAAAATTCCAGGACCAGTAATATACACAATTTTTTTCTTCTGCAGCTGAAGCTGGCAGAAGCCAAGATTAACTGTCCTCGGGTGTGATGAGCATGCTTTGTGTAAGGCATAGCTGTACCGAATGGCTGGAATGTAAACTAGTGCCTGTAGGTTAAAGGAGAAGTAAAGGGGTAATGAAATGTAGCAGATGTGATGTCTTCTCTGTGGAGTAGTCTAAGTGCTTCATTATTTGGCATGTATAGCCAGTCTCTTACTGTTCACAGTATAAGTGCATGTGCGCTCAAAAGAGCGTTGCTCTTATGAGCTGAAGAAGTACAGTACGCGTCTGCTGCTAATTTTTCATTTATTGGCATTGGGTTTGAAAACCTCAGAACACCAGTAACTGTACTAAACACCGGTAACTGTACTACTGTTTTATACTTGGGTTTTCTCTAAGAAAAACATTTTTTCCAAAGAAAGTAGCATTTCTTTTAGGAATTATATTATTATTACCTCTCTTTATGCAGACTTGTGTTCTGAAACATGACTGTCATGATGTCAATGACACCAGGCATTTGCCAGATAGTTCCCCTCTTCTCTATTGTATTTTGTCATAGTATAATGGGGTTTATAGTCCTGAACTGAAATACTTGGAACATGTCTGTGATCTTAAAGCTTGATAGTTTTATTATATAGGTTTTGTGGTAACCGTAAGTATATGAGTTTTCTTTTCTTCATGTCTAATTCTGCCATCATATAAATTTGTAGATGCCATAGTGCAAGTGGCATAAAACTTTGGGAAATTGATGCTCTTGGCGTTCCAGTTGAAGACTAGACTGGATTGCCCCACTGCGCACAAAACCCCTTGCTGATTCTGTCATCCTTAAAAATGCTCTTTTCTTCTGTTGGTAGGTGCAGGCTTAAGTCAGCAAGTAATGGCTCTAATGACTGTAGTCCAGGGTCGTCGTTATGTCTCCAGAGTTGTGCGAGCAGAGCAATGTAATATGAACTCAGTATTGGAGAGGTCTAGATCACTTCATCCCTGCTTCTCAGAAAAGGCATCTTGTTAAGTATTAGGCAAGTCAACAGAGAAGTTAGTGGCATCAGATGAAATAGAAACTTACCTGAATTTGCGTGTCTCACTGTTCCTTCACGTTGACTTTTGAGTGCTGCATTGCTCAACGCCAGACAGAGCAGGATTAAATGATGCTGACGTAAAGTGATAGGTGGCTAATTTATCCTGTTTTCTTAGGGTTTCTAACAGTGGCTCTGGACTGGCAGAGGGTGATTTCCCTTAGTGCTTTGCTGAGTAGAAGGTCAAATGTACATGATGTCTTTGGGCAATAGCAAATTATCTGTCTTCTTCAGATGAAAGCGTAGAGGAGTATGGGGACAAAAATTCCTACACTCGTTTTATTATTTATAACCAGTTCTAAGTGTGCCTCCATGGGTATGGATTAAGGGCTACATGGAAAATTTCAGAAAGGAGCTCTGTTCTCGGGAGGTTGTTTTTTTGCGATGTCAACCTTTGAGCCCTTTAAAGACTTTGCTAGAAGCAGGATTCAAAGACCTGATATTCCCCTTGTAAAGTAAAATTTACGCTTCGCTTGGCCATGTTTACCTTTCTGACTATAATGGGGACTGCTGAATCCAATCTGTTTTGAAATTTTGGAGAAGTTTTTGTTCTACTGCCTGTGGTAAAAATTGGAAAAATGAAAAGAGAAATTGGGGTACAGGCAGGACTGCTGGTGTCTCACTGCCAGGATCAGCAACTTTAATCCATCGCCTGTAGATGAAAGAGCCGGTCGATAGCAGCTATTAATAACGTCTGACGTAATGTTCTGCCTTCTCCCTGCTCTGCTGCACCTCCGTACAAATTTTAGAAATGTTGACACCTGCGTGACTCATCTCACGAGCAAAGAGAGGAGACGGCAAGATGAGGCAACTCGGAGCCTCTGGCGTTTCGGAGATGTGGGATAAACAGTCTCTGGCACGGAGGGACGGAGGGAGAAGGGGAACTTAACCATGTTTAAGTCAAAGTGTGACAGAGGGTCGGGGCATCCCAGGAGTACCTGAGGTAGCGGCGTGGGAGGGTGGCCCACAAACGGCTTGCGAGGCAGGACGGAGGACCGCAGAGCGCTCCTGCGTGAGCAGTGTGCACGCGGCGGAGCAGCAGCCACGTGCACCGCTTTTCTGAGACCCGGTAAAATCTGGGGAAGCGATGAGGAAAGCTCCCAGGGCTGGATCTGAGCTGAAACGGCCGGGCTGACGCTTACAAGTTTTGCTAGGCTAAGTTGGTTAGAGTGTGGAAAAGGCTGAAGAGTGGTAGCGAATGGAGGTGCCCCAGCAGGTTAATGCAGGTGTGAGGAGTGCTTTTGGCGGCTAGCTGGCGCTGGGAGCGTTGTGCCGTTGCTCCAGGAGCGGTCCTTTCGCAACCCTTGCCGGCCGCAGCTCCCCGGCAAACGGCAGGTAGCGCTGCCACAAGCGGTCCACGAGCCCCTTGAGTTCAAACGGGCCTTTAAAGCCTCTAAGGTAAACGCTGCTTCTTGCAGTATGTTTTTGTAACTTCTGCCTTTCAGCTAAAGCAATTTTTTTTCATACACCTTAAAATTCACACCATTTCTCTCTCCTGATGTGTTTTACCACAGGTTTTTTTCTGCTACTGAGAGCTTCCTTTACTGAAATCTCTCTCTGTGTTCCCCAGCAGAGTCCTTTGATAGTCATAAAACTCCCTAACACTTTTTTCTTTTCTTTTTTCTTTTTCTTTTTTTTTGTTCTTCCTCCTCTGACTTCCCTACTTTCTTATCAGCAGCCCCACCTCTGGAGAAGCTATACAGGAGAAAAATGATGTTCTAAACAGGGATTTTTCTTTGCTCCAAAAATGGTGATTTTCCCATCCGTTGCAGCAGCAGTCAGTCCTGTATGAGCCAAGCCGCGCTCTAGTGAGGATGAAGTGGTAGCGATAACGTAGTAGGAAAGAGGAGGAAGACACGTGGGGCTAGGAGGATTTTGTGCTGAGGCAACAGCTTGTAACTCATCAGGGAGACGAGGACTCTGTTAAGCCCTTTGCTTGAAGCACAAATGGAGGTGGGAAGCCTTTTAAAAGAAGGCAGGGATTGAGAGAGGCGTGTGGGCTGTGGCTGGGGGGGGACGAGGAGTCGGGCGCCGTAAGGCGGAGTTGCACGATGCACGGACTTAGTGCCCAGGCTCCCTCCTTCCCTGCGAGCGCAGCCCTCGCTGCCCCCTCGGCTGTGCTGGACGCCGTGTTTGGATCACAGGCATCATCTGGATTAAAAGCACCTTTCCAAGAACTGAAATGGGGAAGAACGTTTTCATCCCAGATCACTTGAAAGCTGCGGTGTTGCTCCGTAAGAAGTAGTCCTAGCAAAGCCTGCTGGGATGGAGAAGTGGAGGACAAAGAAAGGCTGCGGGGGAGCTCTTTAAATCCCCTTCATTGATGACTGATGAGAAAAGCTGGATCTCTTATGCATGAACATGCAAACACGTAGTCCGCTCTGGGACTAGAAATGATTGCTTTATCCTTCCCAGGACTGCCTGCCCTGGCCCCCTATTCCGTAACGTCGATCTGTCTGTAGAGGTTCAATAAAGCACTTTACACAGCGTTGAATGTAAAGCAGGGGGCAGATACAAGAAAAATGCCATCTGAAATGGTGACTGGGAAAGCAAGCAGGCTGTGTCAGCCTATTTCAAGTGGTTAACGAAGTGTCACTCACCATCTTTTTAAAAATGTGTTTTGGAACTGAAGAGGGGAATGAGTTTGTCTCCGGCCAGCGTGCTTAAAATAAACAGAATGCTAGGTGCGTTTATGTCGTGGCATAGATCTGCATTTTGACGTTGGCAACATTAGCAGTTTTCACGCTAGTCTCTATCTCGCTGAATTTTTACTATCTTCGCACCCATTAACTCTAGTTTCAAGGGAAACATAAGAAGGCAAGAAACCCTGTATCTAGAGCCTTTGTTCATGCAGCAGCTGTAGAGCGAAAGCTCTGATGTGGAGTTTAGGGTTTGAAAAGTTAAATCCAGCTGCACAAAAGAGAAATCATCGTAAATATAACTCCATTAATAGCCGTTTTATTACAACGCACTTGGCTCCATATGAAACTTTAATGAAGAGAGATCTACAAGGAAGACTCATGCTGACACCTTCAATGGTCTCTAGCATTTTTTACATTGAGAGATTTATACTGTCTGTGAGCACCATATGCACTCTAATCAGTTAATAATTGAGTCTGGCAGCTTCAGCACATGAAATGCCATATGTTCTGGTTTTGTTCACCATGGGCTCTATTGGTGACCTCAAAACGCATTGACCAAATATTATCACCTTACCTGCACCTGATAACGGCAGTGCATCTGCTGGCTGTGGAAATTGGGCATTGCTGATTCTTGTGACGTTAGGCACAGATCTGCTCCTTGGAAAGTGAGTTACTGAGCAGTCACCCTGGTGTTGAACGTGCTTAAAATTTATGTGTGGGTGCAATAAAATGTTTATTTGAACAGTTAACAGTTCTTCCTTGTCGCTCATCCAGCTGCCCTCTCAGTGCTTTTCCGCTTTATTTTACCTGCTTTCTTTTCCCCCTTTGATCCGCACTTTGTTTAGCTTGCTTTATCCCTCCTCTGCCGAGTTTCCTCTCCTCCTCAAAGCTCAATTGCTTCTTTTCACAGAGGTAAGGGTTTCTGTGATGATGGGAACTTTACAGAGAAATTTCTTTCCATCTGTGCAAGGCACAGAGGAGTTTGTTTTAATTTTCAACTTTTTTCTACCTGCTTTCTCTGCCTCTCTGTTGCTATCCTGCCTTTGCATGCTGTTTTTCTCAGTGACAACTGTAAGCAGCAGGGAAAAGATTACTCTGCTCACTTTGGATGTCCGTAAGGAGCAAATC